GCTGGTGGAATCCCATCCTAACTTCCACTCCCATGCCACCCAGGACTGGTACAATTAGGGAATTGGGTCTCCGGCCAGGTATTGTGCGTCCCCTTTAAGAGCCTAGCTGAGCTCTTAAGAGAGGGAGGGGGAGTGGAGGGGAGGGGAGGGAGAGAGGGGAAAAGGAAAAAGAGACTTTTATAGTCTAATCCCCAGGGACCCGCTTTAATAAGAGACTTGTGCTCTGCTAATCGGGGGAGGTGTTTGTCAGCAGAGATGGCCTCCGTTCCCTTCCCCCTCCCTCCCCTCCCCCAGCCCTCAACCCTGGACCCCAGCCCCCACCTCTCCTAGGCTGCTCTGCCTGCCCTAGTTCCCTCTACCCTCTCAGGCTCTCCCACCGAGCCTTCATCCTGGGAACCCAGCCCCCTGCCCTTTTGGGAACCAAGCCCAGCCCCTGAGTTTCTCTCTCCTCCCCACACCAAGAGGCCCCTGCCCTCTCAGCCCAACCTCCTGCCCTTAGGCCTTCCAGCCAGGGTTGGGAGTGTGTGTTGGGGGGTTAGGGTGGGGGGAAGGGGAGGAGGTGGTGTGCAGGGAGGGGGTTGGGCATTTGCTGAAAATAGTGCAATGACCTCTCTCTCCCACCAGCGCCGCCTACTAAACCTGACCTGCTGCCTGCCACCAGCCAGATCAATTCAACACAGATGTGGCCCCTTTTCCTCCCCATCAGAGCTCGGCATATGTGTGTTGGGGACTCGCTAAAGCCCCATTTCCCTCTGTGGCTCTACCTGCTTCTCCTTTGTTCCTCCGTCTGTACCCTTTCTATCCTTTCTCTCCTTTACCCCACTAGGTTTAGCTTCCTCCCACCTTTAGCTTTCTAACCAGCACCCACTCCTTTCTACCCCTGCCCGTTGCACCAGGATTCTGCAACTCCCAAACTTATTCTTCCCTTGCCATGATCATCCCCTGGGTCTTTCCACTCTATCCTCTATTTCTCTGCCTGTCTCTACCAATCTGCCTTCAACTCTAACAGTCTCTTCTCTGTTATCTCCCTCACCATCTCCAGTCTCCCCGCTGGCTCTTCTCCTTGCTCTTTTCTTTCTCCCTATGTCCTGCCCCCTTGTAGCACTGACTGTCCCCATGTCTACTGGGGGACAAGTATATAGAACCAAAGACTTAGCTGTAGCCCTCATCTTCAAACCCTTCGTCAGCTTAGGTAGGGGGAAGGTTATGTTCAGAGCTTCGTAGAGAATGTGAAAATAGTAGTAGCTTCTCAATAAATGTTGGTTTGTTCATTTTCTATTTTCACATTCTCTAGTTAATGCTCAGCACTCATGTGAAGCAAGAATTATTACTATCTGTATCACACTGCGAAGTTTGGTAAGGTTAGGTAGTGGTTAATAAGGAATCAGGCAGTGATTAAACCCACTTCAATTATAGCCAAAGAACAGAATTCAGATGCCAGGAAGAACTTTCAGGCACTTGCCTGTATAATTTAATATTGGGAGTTTAGGGAGTTCATCCAACATGCATTTATTGTCTGGCACTATGTGAGGCACTAAAGCTACAATGGTGAGCAAAACAGACACGGTATCAACAACACAGCAAGTACTCTCATGGAGATCAGTACCTAATGGCAAGAAATAGACAATTCCTATGGTGAAATTAGTAGAGTATGCTATTTGGGATGTTGCTTGTCACTCCCCATGTCACTAGTAGCTTCCCTATCCCAGCTACTTCTAATCTCTTAATGTTCACTCCCCAAACCCTACTCCATTGCACCATCACTGAAGCTCCAGCCAGTAGAATAACTGGGAGGACTACTACAGCCCTGAGACCTCAGAGAATAATCAAGAAAAAAAAAGCTATAGAGGCTTTGGGTATCATATCCTGGATATATGAAGTTTATTAAGCACTTACCTCATCTCACTTAGAAGGTCCTCTTTCTCCCAGGGTAGGGGTGGGGAATTGCTGACAGGACATCTTAAGTCTGTCCTGATTTTGCGGAACTCACAAGACATGGAGAGGATACTTAAAGGCCTAGGCTTCCTGACCCTACTTATATGGCTCTGGAAGCTCATTCCTGATTCTTCCTATCCAGAGTGAGGATAGACATATTCTGTCCAGTGGAGGCATGCTGTGGGGCACTCCCAACTGACACTGGAAAGGCAGTGAAGAGGAGCTGGAATGGAAGCAGAGGCAGATATTTATTGAGAATCATCCATTAGACCCAAGAAGGATCAATTTATGGTCCAGGGCAAAGGGAAATGGGTCAAAATGTAAAGTTGGGATGCTAAAACTTTGTAAAGACCTACTAGCACTAGACTGAGAAACCAAAGGAAGCTCAGGGGAGAAAAAGGCATTATAGTTGATCTGGTGTGTTTCATATTATTTCTAGTGCTTTGGGCAAATAGGAGGCAACACCTTGGAGGTAATTATTCCTTTCCTCAAAAGCTGGGGCAGTCATGGTGATGATGATGAAGCAGCAACTAAAGAAACTTCTTAGGAGAGGCAATGGGGAGATAGATGTACAGGAAGTGCTTGGATGTTCTGCTGGGTGTTATTCCTAATGAGAGTGAGGCAAGAAGCCTAGATCTGAATTCTGGTTTACTTAATGGGATAAATTTAGCCCATGCTCCCTATCTGGACCCTGGGTTATCCCCTCTCTGAGGCTGTTTTCTGGGGTGGTGGGGGAGGGATGTGCCAGGCTCTACATGCCCATCACATAAATCAGAGCAGATAGGGGGCAAGGTTACCTAAGGGCCACAGGTGTGAAGCTAAAAGAGCTTCAAAAATTCAGAAAATGTTGGAGCCTTACATGCCAAAGTTGGAGGACAGTAAGGATGGTGGTAGAGGAATAATTTTGCTGGTTATCTGGTAGATGGAAACCTATATATTAGGGCAAGTGGATTAGGAAATGAACACAGACCAGTAGGGCTTGATAGGGCCATCATCCTATAGAGGAAGTGCTGTTTTAGGTACCAGAGACATGGTATAAGATAGGCATGAGAGAAGGGTAAAGAAGAATTGGAAAAGTCAGGCTGAGAAGTCCAAATTGCCAGTGCCCCAGGACTACTGATCCCCTACACAAACACCCTGTGCTGATGCTGTGCCCTTCTCTCTTATCAGCGGACCCAGCAGTACAGACAGATGGCAGCCCTCTCTGCTGCCATTTTCACTTCAGCCCCAAGGTGATGTTCACAAAGGTACTGAAGGCCCAGCTGTGGGTGTACCTACGGCCTGTACCCCGCCCAGCCACAGTCTACCTGCAGATCTTGCGTCTAAAACCCCTAACTGGGGAAGGGACCGCAGGGGGAGGGGGCGGAGGCCGGCGTCACATCCGTATCCGCTCACTGAAGATAGAGCTGCACTCACGCTCAGGCCATTGGCAGAGCATCGACTTCAAGCAAGTGCTTCACAGCTGGTTCCGCCAGCCACAGAGCAACTGGGGCATCGAGATCAACGCCTTTGATCCCAGTGGCACAGACCTGGCTGTCACCTCCCTAGGGCCGGGAGCTGAGGGGCTGGTGAGCAGGGGGCCTGAGGTGGTGGATATATGTAACCTGGCCCTGAGGAGATGGGGGTACGTTCGAAAAGGTAGACAAGGAATGTGAAGGAGGTTGGGGACTAGCATTACTTCTCTGGGGTCAGGAGCTGATTTTAGAGGAGGAGTTGAGGAATGGGGTGGCAACTATTACTTTTCAAGGATCCAAACCAGACAACAGCTGAAAATTGGATTTGAAGGTGAAAGTGTCAGTTAATGGAAGGGCTGTAAGAACACAAAACCTGGCTATTGAGGTGTTGGACCAAGGGGCTGATGGGGGTCAGGTTGCCAGAAGAGGAAGAATTAGAGATGGTGAGCTGAAGCAGACCTAGCTAGCTGGCAAGAAAAGTAGGCAGAAGACAAATTCTGGGGTTGGGAGCTATGGAAAAGCTGAGAAGTCAGCAGTCTCTATTCTGATGCCACTGGCAGGTGGGAAAGGAACAGGGAAGAGGAACTGTTCAAGGCCATATCACATTTCTTTCCCCTCTCCCTGACCCTCAGCATCCCTTCATGGAGCTTCGAGTCCTAGAGAACACAAAACGTTCCCGACGGAACCTGGGTCTGGACTGCGACGAGCACTCAAGTGAGTCCCGCTGCTGCCGATATCCCCTCACAGTGGACTTTGAGGCTTTCGGCTGGGACTGGATCATCGCACCTAAGCGCTACAAAGCCAACTACTGCTCCGGCCAGTGCGAGTACATGTTCATGCAAAAATATCCGCATACCCACTTGGTGCAACAGGCCAATCCAAGAGGCTCTGCTGGGCCCTGTTGTACCCCCACCAAGATGTCCCCAATCAACATGCTCTACTTCAATGACAAGCAGCAGATTATCTACGGCAAGATCCCTGGCATGGTGGTGGATCGCTGTGGCTGCTCTTAAGGTGGGGGATAAAGGATGCCTCCCCACAGACCCTACCCCAAGACCCCAGCCCTGTCCCCATCTCCCCCAAGCCCTAGAGTTCCCTCCACTCTTCCGTGAACATCACACCTTGTTCCCTGACCAAGCAGTGTGCAATACAACAGAGGGAGGCAGGTGGGAATTGAGGGGTGAGGGGTTTGGGGGAAACGGGAAGGAGGGGCATAGTCAGGGTGGGGAGTGTTTGAAGTTTGCAAATGAGAAGGTTTGACCAGAAGACAGAGAGATGTAGAGACAGAGGGAGAGAGACAGAGGAACAAAAAGAGCAGCAGTGAGAAGGCAAAGAAAGAGAGAAGAGACAGACTAGGCAGAGACAAAACACGAGAAAGAGACTGAAATGGAGTAATAAATGAAAGCCCCACACCAAGCCTCCTTTCTTCCACTGGCAAGGTGAGGGGCTTGGTATAGTTTGGGGAGATTCCCTGACTACTCAGTAGGAGAAGAAATCAAAAATCCATTCTTTCTTCCTTCTCTCCCTCCAACTGTGGCCAGAGGAAGGGAAGTAAGGGCAGGGGCAAAAGGATTTGGGAATTTTTATTTATTTATTTATTGTGACTTTTCATTTTTTTTGGTATTTGGCTTTACTGGAATAGGAGGGCCCCTGCCCACTGTGCCCCATTTATCCCTTATTCCCCAAACCTTGCACTCCCCAACACCTGCCCACTTAAGCACTTGTATAAAGCCTCCAGGGTTGGGAATGGGAGTAAAGGGCAAGAGGGCTGACACATGGAAGTTTCTAACCCATAATCACCCTAAGTCAAACCTTTTCTGAGCCAAATGAGTTGAATTGAAGCCAGTTGTCATGGAAATAGTAAGAGGTTAGGGTTTAAGAGCTGGAGATGCGGGATGGGAGAGAGAACCCTCAACATCCAGGATCTATATAATGAGAGCTACTTTAAACCCTTAGGCCTACCCTCTTGATACTGAGTTATTTAGCCAGAGGGTACAGCCTGCTTATGCCCAAATTCCCTCAGCCAAGAGAGAGACCAAAGAGCCTCTGGAATGGCCCTGCTCCCAGCCTCTATCTTCAGGTCAGTAGGAAAGAGTATAGAGGCCCCAGAGTCCCCTGGGTATGGGAAGTGTTAGGAGGGGTCAAGAAAGGAGCAGTAAGGAGGCTGAAAGTTACAGGGCATTTGAATCCAAATCACTGCTCTGGGCTAGGGAATAGAGCCAGCAGACCAAGGTGGGAGGGATTCTGGAAGGGGGACATTTCAGTCCCCTAACCCCAAAGCTCAGGGTGGAAGGGGGGAGAACAAGGAAGCAGAGCGTATAATTATTTTTTCCTTTTATTTTTGGAATCTAACAGTACCTGGCAGCAGGGAGGGGAAAGTAGAGTGGGGAAAAGCATCTGACAGGGCCAGTTAGAACAGAGGATGGGATGGATGGGAGACTGTTGGGTTTGGAAGGCTAGGAAGCAGGCAGAGACTGGTTGCCATTTCAAGTCACTAGCTAGGCCCATTCTTTCCTCTCACAATCCTGACCCATTCTCCTCTGGACTCACTGTGCCTCAGTTTCTTCCCCTCAATGGAATGAGAAATAGCAGCACCCGCCACAGCCAAGAGATGAATTCTGAGCACTTACCACGGGCACTTTATGGACATAAAATACCTCTCGCTGTGGGACAGATAACCAGGGCACCAGAGTAGTGGTGAAGAGATGTGAGGCTTAAGAGGAGTCACAGGCTTCAGAGTACAAGTTCCCCTCTGCCTCCCAGCTGGACAGTGCCTAGAAGCCAAGGAGTTGAGAATCTCCTGACCCACACCCTATCCTTACTTCACCACCAGGCCTCTTGGCTCCAGGCAAGAGCTTAGAGGATGTCAGGAGAGGTGGGGGTAAGAACCTTCAGCAAAACTGTCACTCTAAGTAGAGCCAGCAGTTACGGGTCTGATAAAAACAGTACTGAACTAAAGCCCAAGCTAGTAAGCAAACCTGGATGGCTCATTCTTCCCAAGAGCATGACTCTCCCCCTTGGCCAGTTGGTGGAAGGGGAAAGGTATGTCACCACCCTTGAGAAGGTGATGTTGGTGAGCTTTAACATCTTATTCCTATTCTTATAGTGAGAAAGTGAAACAAGGTGTTTCAGTAGAGGAATGGGCAGGGGCTGTTAAGCTTTTCAGCTTGCCTTCTCCCATGTAGCAGCTATGATAACCCCAAGCCTCTCTGGCTGTTCTTCATCCTTCTGCCCGAATTCTGGAGAACATGACACACCCGGCCATCAATACCACTCACATTTTCTTGGTGGAAGGAAAGAAACAGAGAAGAGCAGATGATATCTCCCTCCAAGGTCAAATGCCTTGTGATCTTGGCACAGAGTAGCAGTTGGGCAGTAAGCATCAGGTATCTTCCCTCTACAGATTCTAGAGAACTGGGGCATTAAATATGGCGGACACTTAGAATACTGCCCCTTTAATACCACCAAATAAAGACCTTTGTGTGTGTGTGTCAGGGGGGTCTTTCCCTTATGAACATAAATCTATGAGCTAAAGTCTCATTCCCCTGTTCCTCCCTACCCCCAAAGAGGCATGGAGTCTAGGGGCTTGGGGGGCACAGCTCAGCAACCCAGTGGGAGTTAGCACCCCCTCCCACCTTATGATGTGTGTGGACCTGGCCAGTGCCCCTCTGAACATATAATTGTTAGTATAATTATCATTTACTTTGTGTATTTGTTACATTGTGTGTGTGACAGCCTTTGTTAAGGGTGTCTGAGTAGTATGAAGCTGACGGGCATTGGAATGCCGGGAAAGAACTTCTTCAACTGAGATCAAGGCTTCCTGGAGGGAACCACTGCAAAAAGGCCATCAGGCAGTTTTCAAGTTATGTGACAGAGGGCAAAGATGGCCATAGGGTGCTCTGAGTTTTGGGATGGTCACATGACACAATCCAGCACTTGAACCTGAAAAAAAAAATAAAAGTGGTCAAAGAGTTTAGAATTCAGTGCTGAGCTCTTCTCCCTAATCATGTGCCACATTTACACCTTGGAGACGAGAAGGTGAAGAGGATCTGAGATAGGAAACCTGGTATTCAATGACTAAGAAGATAGCGTCCTGGAGCAAAACAGAAAACATTAAGGGCATGGTGGTATGAGGTTTGGGACATGCAGGCCAAGGAAGGATGGGCAGAGGACAGGAAAGAGGGGGCACTTAGGACAACCCCTTTCTGAAAAGCTTGAGCCAAAACAGTCCCAAAGTTTACAAAACCCTCTTCCAGCCTCCACAGAATGGAAGATCCAAAGGTTCTCTTAAGATGACCCAGCTAGTGTCTGTCCTATTCTCCTACAGTACCTGTTCCTAGGTTTCCTCAACAAAGTTTGACCAAAATCTGTAAAGCAACACAGCCATCCAACTTGCCTTGTTACACAAGAGTGGCTACAACAGCATCTCCAATATTTTTTCAGTTCACTGTGAAAATTTTTCCCATGTACCTAGAGCATAATTCCCAGGGCATATGAGTTGGGAATGGCAAAAGAATATTGCCTGACTCACATTTCTAAAGAATAAGGAAAACAGGGCCCACTGGAGTGCTCCTGTAGTTCCAGCTACTCAGGAGGCTGTGGCAGGAGGACCACTTGAGACCAGAGGGTCAAGGCTGTAGTGTGCTATGATTGGGCCTGTAAATTGCCACTGTATTTCCAGTTGAGCAACATAGTAAGACCTTGTCTCTAAGAAATACATAATAAAAATAAGAAAAGCTCCTGTGACATCAACCTGATCCAGAATTGGGGACAGGGCTACTGAGGGTTCAACGCACTGCTATGCTTTCCCTGTCCTGTCAGTTCTATCAGCACATTGACCCCACCCAAGACCAAATACAAAACTGAGGCTGGAACTGGTTGAATAGCAGAAGTGTTACGTATTCTATCTTCCCAAGGGAACTACATCCATACCTACCCCTAACTTTGGCCTGAGCTGAAAATGGGTTTTCTCTCCCTATTGCTCATTTGTTTCCTGTGTTGAGAGAACACCCAAAAGAGACTACTCAAGATGATTTTTTACAAGTCTTTATCCTAAAACATCCTCCAACGAAGTACATGAGAAGTTATCCTATACTCTGCCTTTGCCCACATTTTAAATGGCAGGGGCCCCAAGCTGAGAATCAGCAGGCAGTGGCATTTATAGCTTCTGGTCTGTAGTGGGGTAGAAGCAGGAAAGTCAATGTTCCAGGCAACAATGTCGGCTTTCCTGCAGGTGAGCTGGGATTGAGGGAGCAAATGGGACTGTGCCTTTTCTTTTTCTCCAAATACAACTGCATAATTGGGTGTATGCGCATGTTCAAACTAGGGCACTCACACCCCCTACCCCAGCCAGAACCTACTCAGGGAAAGAAACATGTATTTCCACTGTACCCTGATCACCTAGTAAGATTCAGAACCAATACTTATTGAATGATTACTATGCAAACTATGGTAAACAAATTGTAGTGTGAATACATGATATGAGAATATCACTTAATTCACATAGCAACCTTCACAATGGGGCTCCTTTTGGCATAGTCTATAAAGAGAATGATTATCTGCCCAGGGTCTCAGAGCTAGTGTGGTAGAACAAGAAATTAAATCTAAATAATTGCTAAACAATCCAAACAATATTACATTCTTTTTTTTTTTTTGAGACAGAGTTTCACTCTTGTTGCCCAGGCTGGAGTGCAATGGCGCGATCTCAGCTCATGGCAACCTCTGCCTCCCAGGTTCAAGCGGTTCTCCTGCCTCAGCTTCCTGAGTAGCCAGGATTACTGGCAGGCACCACCACGCCTGGCTAATTTTGTATTTTTAGTAGAGACGGGGTTTCTCCATTTGGTCAGGCTGGTCTCCAACTCCCAACCTCAGGTGATCCACCCGCCTCAGCCTCCCAATGTGCTGGGATTACAGGCGTCAGCCACTGTGCCCAGCTAAACAGTATTACATTCTAAATCTATCCTATTAAAAGTGATCCGAGAGGTAGCAACCTAAATACAGGAACAACATAGGGGAAAGAGATAACAAGAAAGTTGGGAAGACCTTGGCCTCAAAGAATCTGCAAAGATGTGAAACCGGAATTTTCAATCCCTTTGGAGGGAAAAACAAGAAAAGCCTGGGTATGGCAAGAGAAATTTTGGGGGGATTCCAATAATCAGAAATAACTGGCATTGCCAGAGGCCCTCCGTATAAGAGAACAGGAAAAAAGTTATGCTCCCTTAAGTTCCTCACTCCTCATGTCTGACACAGCAAGAGGACTCAAAACCAAGAAGTCCTGCCCTTATTCACACCTTCCTTCCTATAGCCCTCATCCCCACAGAATCTTCTAGCCTCTATCTTCAGCAGTTCTTAAGGGATGGCGGGGGGGGTGGTTTGGGCAGTTTAGAGAATAGAGAAAAAAAAGAGAATAATCCTAGAGAACCATAAAAAGGTACAGATTTACAGCTGAGGAAGCTAGTTCTCCCCATAGCTTTTATAGACTCCCTCATTAAGAGCTTCTAGGTATGCAGAGAATGTCACAGCTTCAGGAATTGGAATCAGTTAACCACATCTGGATGCTGGATAAGCTATAGTAGGGAAACTGGGGAATAGGAAGGAAGAGTACTAAGATCTCAGGTAAAGAATTACAAGTCTCGATGTCTGTTCCATCTCCAAATGGAATTACTATTTTAAAACTGAATTAGGAAAAAGGCAACCCAAACTGTTCATGCTAAAAGAGTATATGGGGAAATACTATAATGAGATAGGATGGGGAGGATTTGGTGATCTGGCTTGGAGGTTAGAGACTTCTGACTAACCTCCAGTACAAACAGCTGCTGAAATGGCATGAAAAAGGTTAGTAAGAAAAAAAAATCCCGCCGGGCGTGGTGGCTCACACCTGTAATCCAAGCACTTTGGAGGCCAAGGCGGGTGGATCACCTGAGGTCAGGAGTTCAAGACCAGCCTGACCAACATGGCGAAACCCCGTCTTAAAAAAAATAATAAAAAAAAAAAGAAAAAAAAAATCCCCACAAATTTAAAAACACTGTTCAAAGATCTGGAGAAAGTAAGATGAGTGAGGAGAATAATTAGGCTTCAAGAAGAGAATCCTGGAAAGTAAGGCTGAATACCCTTCTGGAACGTTATAGAGGATAAAGACACAGAGTGAAGAAAACTTCCAAAGGATCCACTGCTCCATTTACTAATCAGCATCTGCTCTATTCTTTTACCTATTTTTCTCTTTGTAAAACCATACTAGGGTAGAAACCATAACAGAATCTATAATCTCTCAAATTACAAATCAGATATATTCTCTCTACTTCTGTTTTCAGATGAAGACAGACGAGAGAGAGGAAAGGCTAGCCCCAAAATAAGAGCCTGAGGTAAGGAAAAGGGAGGCAGACAGAAAAGAGGGAAAGAGGAAGGTCATTCCAATTGTAAGGTTTATTTGGTTGAGTAGGTGTCAAAAATTTAACCAGCATTCCCTTTTGTTTACTTCTCCAAAGTCTCAGAATGGGGCAAACTTCACAACAAATGGGCAGCAATTTTTGGATCTGCTCTCCAAGACACAGTTTTCCTAAAGTATCTAAACTTTAGGTCCCTGCCTTCCTCACCAACCAGAGACTCTGGAGAAATAAAGAGATTCTTGATGTTAGAAAGATGATCGAACTATTACCATTTCATTAAGCACAAAACCAGGCAGGTTTTAGGGGAAATAAGGATAAAGGATTACACCACAGCAACATGGGATCAGATCATAGTACAAAAGTTTTCAGGTGGGGTGCCAGGTTCCTAAGCCTTACTACCAAAAATAGCCCAAACAAAAACCAAGCTTATATAAAGATTAAGAGGAGAAACTCTGTACTAACATATCCAAAAAGATTAAATTGTAGGTTTCAGATCTACATGAACTTGAAGCCTCCAGTTCCACTGCTTATGTTCCCAATGATTTATGTAATAATGCTTAACAGTGCTGACATCCTCTGTCATGCTTTGATTCCCTATACAAAATTTCTTCTATCTCTGAGGGATATCCAGCCCATCTCCCTTCCTAAACTGACTAACCAACAAGGTCCCACATATTGGTTTTGGCTGAAACCAGACAGTATCGTATCAGGCCACCCTTGAAAATAGGGCCCTTTTCCTTTAATTTGGGACCCTGGACTCTATTTTATCCAAGAAAAAGTCTGCATTATTAGCTCATAACAGAAGGCTACTAATCATTGCCCTTGTATTTATATCCTTTGCACCACCTAAAACCTCCCTCGTTTTATTTTATTTCAGTGGGTCACTACAAGCTGCTGGCGTAAAGACTTGGTGTGTAGGTAATTTAACCTCTTCATAGAGGATAAAAAATGCTTGTGAATATGAGAGAAGGGAATAAATAGGCTTAAAGAGTAGACTCGATCCTTTGTCTTGTCTTCTCTTCTTAGGGATAAAAGTGTTATGGCCAATTGTCTATATTTGCCCCTGAAGCTCCCCTTATCTGGTCTAATCTGGCTCCAATAAATCAAAGGAGCACCTAATAAAACACATTGTTCTCTTTTCTATTTTTTTTTTATTAACAAGCAACATAATCAAAAACAAACACAACAACTTTAAAGCTGAAACAGCAATAAGTCAAACTGCTGCTGCAGTTCACGGATGTACCTGGGGTACATGCTCCCTCATTGCGAGGCAGGACGTAGGCACATGACTGTGCATTTAGGTATATATGTGACCAAGAAGAATCAGAGAAATGGAAAACACTGGAGAACAGAAAGTAACATGAACTTTTCATCAGGCAATCCCAAAGCGCTCTGCTCTTTTCCTCTTCTTTGCCTGTAAAGAAGAAGCCGGAAGAAAAAAATTAGATTGAAGACAATAGTTGCTGGGATTCCTGGCTGCTTTAATCCAAACTCACATGAACTGTCACAAGGCCCAAGAAGGAAGGATGGCCCAGACTTGAGCTTGGCAGCAAGAGATTTCATTCCTCAATCTCTGCAATCTTTCCAATTATCCAGTTAGAGCTGGGAAAGTTTAGTGGGTAAGGAGGGTGAGAAGGAAAAAAAATTACTGGGGGCGAGGGACAGAGAGAACAGTGGTAGAAAATGGAAAGATTCCTGAAGGAGAGAGGGCCACCCAGCCTGAGATCAAGCTAGCTTGGAAACAATGGGCTGTTAACAGGCTGGGGAAAGTCTTCCAGTCAATGGGGAGATGGAAGATTTCAGAGGATAATGAATTAAACAATGCTATTCATAGAGGTGAAGGAGATGCCCTTCTGAGTAGTGAGGCCCAGGCAGTAGCTATTCGTTAGGCCTCTAGAAAGGCATATAAATCTTTGATGCCAACAGAACGAATAGGGAGTGAGTGGTGTGTGGGTGAGTCCCTATCATAGAGCTCTTAAAAGAGGCAGCAACACTGGAGAGGACACAAAATGGTGAGGGAAGACTTTTGGTTCAGGAAGTGACTCACAGAAAGGCACAGAGTCCTTCATGTGCACTCCTAACCACTGGCCCTAGCAGAATACAAACTCCTCTAGCTTTTTCCTAGTTAAAGGTTAGCTGATTTAACTCTAAAATTTTCAGGGTTTAATTTATAAGACTGATTCTGATACTTACGCATAAAGAAGCTTTTCATAAAGCACCATCCTGTTGGTACTGTCCTCAAGACAGTTCTTGCAAGATATGGCTGTTTAAAAGTATGTGGCACCTTCCCCTTTCTTGGTCCCGCTCTGGCCAAGTGATGTGCCTGCCCCCGCCTTGGCCTTCTACCATGATTGTAAGCCTCCCGAGGCCACCCCAGATGCCAAGCAGATGCCAGCACCATGCTTCCCATAAAGCCTGCAGAATTGTGAGCCAATTAAACTTCCTTTCTTCATTAGTTACCCAGTCTCATGTATTTCTCCTTTATAGCAATGCCAGAACAGCCTAACAATACACTTTGAGACAGTCTTGTTCTGTCACCCAGGCTTGAGTGCAGTGGTGCAATCTGGGCTCACTGCAACCTCCACCTCAGCCTCTGGAGTAGCTGGGACTACAGCACCACATCCGGCTAAATTTTTAAAAAATTTTTCGTAGCAATGAGGTCTCGCTATGTTGTCCAGGCTGCTCTGCAACTCTTGCCCTCAAGCGACCCTCCCACACTGTCCTCCTAAAGTGCTGGGATACTTTCATTTTGAGAAATTATTTGTGGCCAGGCATAGTGGCTCATGCGTGTAATCCTAGCACTTTGGCAGGTGGATCACAAGGTCAAGAGATCCTGGCCAACATGATGAAACCCTGTCTCTATTAAAAATACAAAAATTAGCTGGGTGTGATAGCACACACCTGTAGTCCCAGCTACTCAGGAGGCTGAGGCAGGAGAATCACTTGAACCCATAGGGCAGAGGTTGCAGTGAGCTGAGACTGTGCCACTGCACTCCAGCCTGGAGACAACGTGAGACTCCATCTCAAAAAAAAAACAAAAACAACAAAAAAAACCCCACCTATTTGTAAACAAAGTGACAGGAAGAGGAAGTCTGATTTGAGTCCATTGTCCTTTTCCAGAAGGGAGTTAGGTACAATCAATACTTACTAAATACTTTAAAACTATCCCTTTTTATACAGAATCATTTCATTATTTAAATATCATGTTGAGGCAGGTATATTATCTCCACTTTTCAGATGATGAAACTAAAGCGCAGGAAGTACTATAACTTATTAATACTAAGTGGCAGAGACTTTTTCTTTTTTGAGACAGGGACTCACTCTCTTGTGCAGGCTAGAGTGCAGTGATGCCATCTCAGCTCACTGCAGCCTTCACCTCCTAGGCTTAAGTGATCCAACCTATCTCAGCCTCCTGAGTTGTTGGGACTACAGGTGTGTGCCACAACGCCTGGCCAATTTTTATATTTTTAGTAGCGTCAGGGTTTCTCCATGTTGCCCAGGCTGGTCTTGAACTCCACGGCTCAAGAGATCTGTCTACCTCAGCCTCCCAAAGTGCTAGGATTACAGGCACGAGTCACACCTGGCCGAGAGCCACTTTTAAAATCCAAGGCCTGATTCAAAACCTTATACTCTTTACCATCAGTCTAATAGACTCTTAACACTGAATTAAGTATATTGGTGGAATTCAGTGTTGCCACTTCATCCAGGAAAAAATGTTATCAAGCAAAAGGCAAAATATTTGGACACTTAAGAATTAGGTGGGTGGCCACAGGAGGATCACTTGAGCCCAGGAGTTTGAGACCACCCTGGGCAACAGAATGAGACCCCATCTCTACAAAGGGTTTCTCCACTCAGTTTATTCACTCTCACTTCCTGGGCAAGAGAAACCCCATCTCTACTAAATAAATAAGTAGGTGAGGAAACAGTATTTCTCCATTCAGTTCATTCACTTTCATTTCCCTCACGGTCTATGAAGCATTCTAGGTATATTTTTACCTCTGTATCCTCTGTGGTTCCAGTTCCAGCTGAACTTGTGACAATCCCAAATCGTTCCTTCCTCTTTTTCAGTTTCTCATCATCTTCAGACTATTCAGGAACAAACAAAAGAGTTGAAAGAAATTAGCCTCCATTCACCAAGTAAATGGGAATGAAATAACTTACTGGTCACAATATGCTAACCAACCTTGTGACAAGAACTAATGATCACATAAAGAGATAAGATACAGGCTGGGCATGGTGGCTCACACCTGTAATCCCAGCACTTTGGGAGGCCAAGACAGGAGGATCATGAGGTTAAGGGTTCAAGACCAGCCTGACCAACATGGAGAAACCCCATCTCTACTAAAAATAGAAAATTAGCCGGGCATGGTGGCACATGCCTGAAATCCCAGCTACTCAGGAAGCTGAGGCAAGAAAATGGAGGTTGCAGTGAGCTAGACTCTGTCTCCGCCCCCCCAACCCCCACCAAAAAAAAAAAAAAGTTCAAACAACCTTTTTTTTTTCTTTTTTGGAGGCAGAGTCTTACTTCATCACCCAGGCTGGAGTTGAGTGACACAATCTCAGCTCACTGGAACCTGCACCTCCCGAGTAGATGGGACTATAGGCGCACACCACCACACCTGGCTAATTTTTGTATTTTTAGTGGAGATGGGGTTTCAGCATGTTGGCCAGGCTGGTCTCAAACTCCTGACCTCAAGTGATCTGCCTGCATCGGCCTCCCAAAGTGCTAGGATTAGAGCCATGAGCCACCGTGCCTGACCAAACAAACTTTTAAAGAATGTCTGTGTGGTGCTTACGAGCTGGATTTATTTTTAAATCTCAAGGAAATTATATTCCTACAGTGTATAGGCAGGCTGTGTCTCTAGGTGTCCCAAAATCACGTGGTCAAAAGCAAAGGCAATCAAAAGACCTACAGAAACACAGAATTTTTCAATGCCTCTACTCTCAACCCCAACCAAGGAGTTGCCTTTGTCCCTGTGGCCACAGCAGCCACCTGTACAAATCAAAAGCAGGGCAGCTATCCAGCTTTGTGCTCAATTTGTTTAACTAGTCCAGGTGTCTGAACACAGCAGGCAGGAGTACTGTCTTGGTTTTTCTTTTTTTTTTTTGAGACGGAGTTTCGCTCTTGTTACCCAGGCTGGAGTGCAATGGCGCGATCTCGGCTCACTGCAACCTCCGCCTCCTGGGTTCAGGCAATTCTCCTGCCTCAGCCTCCTGAGTAGCTGGGATTACAGGCACGCGCCACCATGCCCAGCTAAGTTTTTGTAGTTTTTAGTAGAGACGGGGTTTCACCATGTTGACCAGGATGGTCTCGATCTGTTGACCTCGTGATCCACCCGCCTTGGCCTCCCAAAGTGCTGGGATTACAGGCTTGAGCCACCGCGCCCGGCCCTGTCTTGGTTTTTCTTTAACTCTTTCAGCTTGAGAAAGATGTTCATGTTCTCCCTTTTGCTGCACCTTTCTAGTGAGTAGCAAGGAACCTAAGAAAGAATGATGGCTATCAAGCAGTAAAGAATCCTATATAAGTTATCCTTTAATCAGAGTATATTATCAGAATAAACTACTGCCTACAGTTTTTCTGCCTTTCTTATTATGACCACCAGCAAATCCACAGTGGGTACCTCATTAATGTACTCTATTGAAAAAACATTAAGCCAGGTTCAAAGGAAAAAAGAAGTATTCTTGTCCTTAATAATCATCAATTAAAATAACACTATAGCCATGGACATTTGAGTGCTTAGTTTGTGCCCGGTACTGTGTGCAGTTCTGTACATGCAATATCTCATTTACTACTTTTTTTTTTTCCTGAGACGAAGTCTTGCTCTGTCACCCAGGCTGGAGTGCAGTGGTGCCATATTGGCTCACTGCAACGTCCACCTCTCAGGTTCAAGCTATTCTCTTCTTGCCTCAGCCTCCCAAAGTGTTGGGATTACAGCCGTGAGCCACTGCATCTGGCATCATCTACTTGTTATAATAAGCATATGGAGTAGGCACTATAATTAAATTCATTTAATAAATACGAAAATTGAGGCTTGGAGAGATTGACTTGCCCAAAATCTCACAAATAACACCAGGATTAGAACCCAGGACATTTTACTTGAGAATCCAGTTTCTTAGCTTTACCCCTCCTCAAGGTATCTCACAGAAGTATTTCTTTGGAAGAACAGTAGGACAATTAAGTGCTTAATTCCCAAGGAAGAAGGATCACTAGGGCTCTTAGCTAAAAAAATTTGATAAATTTTTTTTTTTTTTTTTGATACGGAGTTTCACTCATGTTACCCAGGCTGGAGTGCAATGGCACGATCTCGGCTCACCGCAACCTCCGCCTCCTGGGTTCAGGCAATTCTCCTGCCTCAGCCTCCTGAGTAGCTGGGATTACAGGCACGCGCCACCATGCCCAGCTAATGTTTTGTATTTTTAGTAGAGACGGGGTTTCACCATGTTGACCAGGATGGTCTCGATCTCTTGACCTTGTGATCCACCCGCCTCGGCCTCCCAAAGTGCTGGGATTACAGGCTTGAGCCACTGTGCCCGGCCAATTTGATAAATTTTAATCACTTCACTCAAATAATCAGGTCAACAATACTAGAACCTCTTCTTGTTTCTATCATACCACAAACCTAACAATTTATAAGTAACTAAGGACCTAGGGAAAGAACTCCAGTTAGTAATCTTGTATTAAAGTTTTTCTCAGCTGAATCTGTTTCTTATTTTTTATTTTGAGATGGAGTCTCACTCTGTCACCAAGCTGGAGTGCAGTGGCATGATCTCGGCTCACTACAACCTCTGCCTTCCGGGTTTAAGTGATTCTCCTGCCTCAGCCTCCTGAGTAGCTGGGACTACAGGAGTGTGCCACCATGCCCAGCTAATTTTTATATTTTTTGTAGAGACGGTTTCGCCATACTGGCCAGGCTGGTCTCCATCTCTTAACCTCATGATCCACCCGCCTCAGCCTCCCAAAGTGCTGGGATTACAGGCGTGAGCTACCACGCCTGGCAGCTGAATCTGTTTCTAATTTTGTCTAATTGGCTATTCCATTTGTTAAGATGTAATACAAGAATCAGTGGCCAGGCTCGGTGGCTCATGCCTGTAATACCAGCACTTTGGGAGGCAGAGGTGGGCAGATCACCTGAGGTCAGGAGTTCGAGATCAGCCTAACCAACATGGAGAAACCCCATCTCTACTAAAAATACAAAATAGCCGGGAGTGACGGTGCATGCCTGTAATCCCAGCTACTCAGGAGGCTGAGGCAGGAGAATTGCTTGAACCTGGGTGGCAGAGGTTGCACCGAGCCAAGATCGTGCCACTGCACTCCAGCCTGGGCAACAAAAGCAAACTCCATCTCAAAAATAAAAGAATACGGAAGGTTTCCAACAAACATTAAGCCCCACCAAATTTTTTACTAACAAAGTCAAGGGAGAAAGTTTTCTTGACTTTTGTCTACTACCACTAAGATAAAGTGAATAAAGGATATAAATGGAGATTTCAAACTGAGAACCTCTAGAATGCTCTAGTTGATATATTCTTCACCAAGTCTCCTGGCCAAGGAGGAAACAGTTTGCAGGAAAATAAATGGAACATACCTTCTTGTGGAGAGGCAAGACTAGACTAGACCAGTATCTTGTTAAACTATCATTATAAACTTTTTTCCATTCAATTTAGCACTAGCAGTACTCCAGCAAGTTCAAATCACAGAGGAGGTATGACTTTTGAAACCCAGACATTATATCAGCACAAACCCTGAGGCCATGCCCTCCCCCAGTGTATGTCCACTTGGAATGTGCAGGCCAGTTTTGCTCCTCCTGGTTCTTTATTTTGCCATATCCTGAAATGGGAAGTTTGATTTCTCCATGAGTCACCTGCCTCGCTCCCACCTTTTTGAGACAGGGCCTTACTCTGTTGCCATGCTGGAGTGCAGTAGCATGATCACGGTTCACTGTAATGTTGAATTCCTGGGCTCAGGTGATCCTCCTCCTTAGCCTCCTGAGTTGCTAGGGCTACAGGTATGTGCCATGCCTGGCTAATTTTTTTTTTTTTTAATAGAGACAGGGTCTTGCTATTTTGCCCAGGCTGGTTTCAAACACCTGGACTCAAGTAATCCTTTCAACTTGCCTCCCAAAATGCTGGGATTACAAGCATGAGCCACCACACCCTTTTTAGTAGTTTCCCTTTTTAATAAGATCTTTGGTGCCTCTTCTGGAGATATAGGCAGAGCATCTGTTCCAAACCCATCAGGGGTTCCAGGGGAAAAACAAAACAAAACAATACATCTTTCCCCCACCCTCCACAAATAGCCTGCCCTTCCCTCCCCACCCAGCACCCCTCAGCTCCTCTCCTAAAGCCTCTTTCCTCCTTTCCCTGCAGGGAAAGTGCACAACTGGGCCCAGTAAATCAACACAGTTCTAATGATCTCTCTCACTTGACCCTTCTAGCGTGACGGTGTCGCATGGAAACAAATGTACAATAAACTTCACTTCATCTTTAGCTTCTTGCTGACAGGTTTTGATTCATGGGATGGCAAGACCCATCTGAGGGAAATTACCTCAATCAAAACGCATGTCTCTCTGCATTCATCAGGCCAATGCTCCCTCAGGCCATGCTCAAGTGCACAAATAGGGTTGTGGCATCTGCAGGCAGCAGTGACCCTTCTAGCTCAGTGTCACATGCATTTGCAAACCTTTCCCTTCTTCATCCCTCCCCCACTACCCTCCCTCAAAACCCTCAACTACTAACAAATCTCTTTTTTCTTCCCATTCATACTGTGTGAGAAGAGAAGTGCTTGAAGTGCCCTTATTTCCTATCAAATGTATTACTCCTAAAAACATACAACTTGCACCCAAAATCTGGAGAAAACTTTCCTCACTGGCCAAACACAGGCATTGGATGTTCAGATTAATCCATATATTTCAATTCCTCCCTCCTCTTCCTTTTCAAGATTAAAAACACCAAGCCAACCAACTGACTGATGCCAGTAATTTCAGCATATGCAACCCTCATGGCACCTAATACCTGCCTTGTTCACTTTTCTTAAGATTTCATTTAGGGCCGGGTGCGGTGGCTCACGCCTATAATCCCAGCACTTTGGG